CAAGGCCTCAGTAAGTCTTAGCCATTGTGCTCTTTCCTTGTGTGAGTTTCTCTCACGCAGGCCAGGTTGGAGGAACATCTATCTATGTATATAAAAGCCTAAGTGACCATTGTGATCAGTCGACCGCTTGACCGGTTGCTATGACCCATACTGACCACCAGGGGGCAGAGGCTCAAGGCAGGAGCTGCCCCTTGGTGTTCACAGCACTCCCACAGCCAACCTCCCACAGCTGGACAACTTCTGGTGGTCCCACCCCCTGGCTGGTTGGCCCCAATCGGCTTGATGGCAGAGGCTCAAGGCAGGAGCTGCCCCCTGGTATTCAGAGCGCTCCCACAGCCAACCTCCCGTGGCTGGACAACCTCCAGTGGTCCCTCCCTGTGACTGGCCAGCCCTGTGATCGGCCCGATTGCAGGCCAGGCCCAGGGACGCCCCCCCACACCTGGTCACGAATTCGTGCACCGGGCCTCTAGCAGTTTAATAAGGCAAGAAGAAGTGTAAAATAATGGGGGAGAATTGCCTCTAATAGGGGGAGGACATTATATTACAGGGGGAAGTAAAACAGTAAAAAGTTAGAAGAGCCCTGGCCGGTGTGACTCAGTTGGGTGAGCGTCCTCCCAGGCACCAGAAGGTTGTGAGTGTGATTCCCCGTCAAGGCACACACCTAGGTTGCAGGTTCAGTCCTGGTCAGGGTGCATACGGGAGGCAACCAATCCGTTTCTCTCTCACATCGACATTCCTCTCTCTTTTAAAAAATAAAGCCAATAAATACAGATTTTTTTTAAAAAGAAGAGGTGGAGACATGTTGGGGGAGGGTGACAAGCCCTGTGATTCTCTTTGGTCTCTTTCAGATCTGCAGCACCTCAGCTGACACTCTGCCATCACCGAGGGACCCAGGAAGCTGGCACAAGCTGGAAATCAAGTGAGAGAGCACAGGGCCTGGACGCCGTGGCCTGACAGGGCCCAAGGAGCCAGAGTTGGTAGCGTTTTGTATGTGATGCCGGGATCAGATTGCCCAGCGGGCTTCCATTATTGTGGGCTCCTCAAGAAGGCCCTGGAGAAGCTGGGGACTCCCCTGGAAGGCGCTGGGGAAACTGGGGATTCCCCCAGGAAGGCCACGAGGAAGCTGGGGACTCCCCAGGAAGGCCATGGGGAAGCCAGAAAGAGTTGGTAGAAGGTGCTGATACCAAGATGCCCACCCGTGTTTTGCCTCCTCCTTATGGGACGTGAGTCTGGCACATCCCTATGTCTTCTTCCCCTGGGATCGGGCTCTGGTGTAGAGACGCCTTCCTCCTGAACAGGTGACGCACCTGGTGAATCAGCTAGAAGCCTAGGGGGCATGTTTGTTTATTCCTGTTGCCGGGGAAACCCTGGGACAGCTGTCAGGAGGAAGGCACAGGTGTCGGGTCTCTCACCCTCACACTGCTGCCTTCTCTTCCCCTTCACTCGCTTTAGAAAGCTACATGGACCTGCACGCAGCACCGTGCTGTATTTATTTTACTGCGTGCAGGTCATGAAAGACTCAACTCTACAAACCATTCTGAATTAGACTAGAGAGGACGGGGGCGGGCGGGGGGTAAAGAGAAGGAAAGCTCGGACCTTTGAAGTGGGATCAAAGCCCGCCCATGCTTTGACATGTGGGGCCACAATAGGGGTCTGGCTGGAGCCCATACTTTGCAGGAACTTCTTCACCTCTGCCCCGAGAGAAACCAGCATTTTCCTCCTGCCAGAGGACTGTGTGCCTTGTAAGCCAGGCAAGGTTCCTTCATCAGTTCTCAATAAAAGTGGATTGTTGAACCGAAATCAATCTCATTCCCCCAATGTGTACTATTGTGCCTCTTCCTTCACTTCCCTCTCCTTTTACTGAAAAATATTTATACATATATTATATATATTTGTAATTGAGATACGATTGGCATATAACATTATGTTTCAGGTATATGAGTCGATATTTGTATATATTGTGAAAATTTTTTATATTGTTAACTATGAATTATTTTATTACACACAGAAGGGCTAAAGCATACTGTCGTGTACTCTCACGTACCTTCCACCCAGCTGAAGAAGTAAAACGTTACCACCCCTAGGGTATTCCCTCTGTGCCCAAATTTTCTTCCAAATTAGTTGTGTTAATTTATGGCCTTACCACTTGTGTATGAGTTCCCACTGTTTGATGTTCATGCTAACACTTAGAATGATCAGATTTGAAAATGTTTGCTAATCTGATGGGTGAAACCTGGTATCCTATTATCATAATATTCTTGTTTTCCTTCTTACCTTTTTTATGAAGATTTGGTGAATCCCCATATGTCCAATGCCCAGCTTCAACAATTACCAACCCAGAGCTAAGCTTATATCAACACTAATGGCCCGGTGCACGAAATTCGTGCGCTGCGGGGGAGAGGGTGTCCCCTCAGCCCAGCCTGCCCCCTCTCACAGACTGGGAGCCCTCAGGGGATGTCCTACTGATGGCTTAGGCCTGCTCCTAACTATGGTTTTTAATAACCTTGATAACTTATAGGTCAGTCCTTTCTACTCTGCTTTTTCATCAAAACCACTTTGACATTCCTTTCTTCTTTTATAGAAATTATTTAATTAGTCAGTTTTAGGAAAATGCCTGGTTTTGTTTGTTTTGTTTCTCTACTGGGCTGACAGAGTTGAGAGATTCATTTTGGAAGAATAGATTTTTTTATGATATGTGTCCCTTTTTTGATGCTTTAAATGTATTTCAATAAAGCTTTATAATCATTCTCCATGTCAGTCAGTCGCATCTTTTATTCAGTTTATTCCTTAGTACTTCATATTTTCTGTTGCTAGTGTAAATATTTTAAATTATATATTTTTTATCTATTACTGGTAGAAAGGATTGCAATTCATTTTGCACACTGATCTGATATTAAGCAGACCACTGAATTGTTTATTCTAAGACCACAGACTTTATTGTTTCTATAAAGATGATCATAAAGTTTGAAAACAGAAACTTCCTTGTTTTCTGGGCTGCTGCAGACCTCCAGTAAAATGCTGAAAGTGGCCATAGCAGCCATCTTTGTCTCCTTCATGATTTTAAAGGGAATACTTCAAATATTTCTCTATGAAATGTGATATTTGATGTAGGTTTTTGGTTTGGTACTTATTTTTTAACAAGTTGTAACTATCCTGCTGTTTCTAGTTACTTACCTTGAATAGGCTTTACATTTAGTCTAAAATGTCCACATTTGATTTCAGAGAGGAAGGGAGAGGGAGAGAGAGAAACATCAATGAGAGAGAATCATTAATTGGCTCCCTCCTGCATGCCCCCTACTGGGGAGCAATCCTGCAACCCAGGCATGTGTCCTTGACTGGAATCAAACCCAGGACCCTTTAGTCCATAGGCTGACTGACACTCTATCCTCTGAGATAAACTGGCTAGGCGCCCCCGTCCCCTCCCCCCCCCCCGCACTGATTTTTAGAGGGGAGGTGGAGAGACAGCAAGAGAGAAACATTGATGTGAGAAAGACTTATTGATTGGCTGCCTCCTACACACGCCCTGACCAGGGCCTGGGATCGAGCCTGAAACCCAGATATGTGTCCTTGACTCCAGTCAAACCTGTGACCCTTCAGTCCATGGGTCCATGCTCTAACCACTGAGCAAACTGGCTAGGGTGGATATTTTATATATTTTTTAACTAATGAGTGTTTGGGAGGAGCATCGCAGAGGTAAAGTGCCATTGTTCTCATGGTATCGAGGGTATGTACTCTCAGTATGAGAGATCACTGCTGAAGTTTACCTTGACCACCTACCTGGCTTGAGGTCGTGTGTGTCAGCTCTCCCCACCATAAAGTTACCCTTTTTGTCCTTCTCTTTCCATACTAGACACTTTGGAAGAAAGTCACGTAAGGGGTGGGAGTCAGGCTCTGGCTCCTTGAAGAAGAGGAATC